CCCCAAAACCCCAAAACCCCAAAACCCCAAAACCCCTTGGTGAACTCTAAGGATTGAAGAATTTATGCGCCAATATGGCTGATACTAATGATTCAGGCCAAGGATTTTGTTAAGTGAAGAGGGAGTTTTTATAATTTTTATGTTGTTTTGGTAGGGTTTACTGTTCCGTGTTTGAGGTAATAGTTGATAGTCTTGGTGATCTGTTTAGAGGTGTAGCTGAAGTTGAGACGAGCTCTTTTCCCTTGTATTGCTAAGGAATAGATATCATAAGTTCTGGCAGCTTCAATTTCATCCATGAAAATACCAATGTACTTCTTCTCGTGGTTCACATTAATGAGAGCTTGCCAATTCATGTTATTCTTTGAGACTCCAATGTACTTAGACCTTCTTCCAAGATATTTGTTGGAATGTTTCGACTTTTTAGCCGAACATGTGAATCCAGAAGCATGATGGTTCTTCAAGCGTTTCTTGAGTTCTAAAAGCTTTGGCTTTATGTCTAATTTATCTGAGCGGCTTGCTCTTTTCTTAACTCCTTTAGCATTTTCAGCAATATTTTTGGCATCACTCTTTTTGTCTCTATTTGCAGATGATTCATCCTTAAGTTTGTGTTCTCTTATTACAAGTTCTGAGCTGTCAGGGCATTATTAATGCTTCTGTGTAATTTCAAGAGTATATCCCTACAACAAATATTAGATCTAGATTTTATAGTGTTAAAAATTAAGAAATTCGCTTAAAAATTTACCTTGCATTTCAAGTCTTTCCAGAAACATGAAGTCTTCCATGAGATTCTGAGGAGAGGAGATCGCAAGACTCTTGAGTCTCACTAGTTCCCTGGCTTAGTATACATAATCAGAACCTAGAGTCCAGACTCAAGAGAAGGTCTGAGTAACTCCAGATGGGAAAATTTGTCTGTGAAAAGTTATTTAAAGGGCTGTAAATATCCATTTTTAATTTTATAACCTGATTAATCTGTAATTTTTATACTAATTCTCAAATTCTCTCAAGATTCATCTAAATGTGTCTTCAATAATGGCCATAAGCATGGCCTAGCAAATTATATTGTTATGAGTATTCTTAGAAAAATTTACGAAAAATTGCGGCAAATAAATTATGATATCAATTTAAATGAAGGTGTCGGTTGAAGGCTAATTTCACTTATTTAGCGCCCAATAGAATTATAAAGGTGAAGCTTCAAATGCACTCTCAAAGGATTTCATGACAGGCTAGTTATAGCAGATTTAGACATTCTCTCTTTAATTTTTGTTTTTCTGCATATTTAGAAGCTGAGATTACCACAAGTCTATAGTTCTTTAGATTTAGACTCAGAAATATTGCTGCCTACTTCAAGAAATATTAGATTTTAAAACCTGTCTTGTGAATTCTGAATTAACATCAGAGATGATGTCTCAATATTTTGCTAAGAATTGTTGAAGGATAGTATCAAAGGGATTTATAGCACAGAAATTTGGCTTCTTAATAAATGCATTAATATTCCAAATCTGTTCAAATCTAGATGAAATTAGAGAGAAATTTGGGCAGAAATCTTAATAATGTAGGTGAAAATAACAATACCCACTTCGTATCAACAAAATCATTAGGGTTCGAGGAACTATCACAGCAATCGAGGTCTTACATCTGGCTAAAGGATTAATAGCAAGAGGCAAGTCTTAAGTTTATGATAATTTAGAGTACGATTTCATTAAAAGTCTTTTCTCATGAACTAGAGTCTATGAAGTAACCTTGGCTGACTTATCAAACAGAGTTTGCACACCAATCATGCAAACGCAAGAGCAAAGGAGGTTTAATAGCGCTGAAATGAAGCATTTGAGGTTTATCTACCCTCAACCTCTTTCAGTGCTCACTTGTTAATTACTCTGGAAACAAGGAGGTTATGTGAAGGAAGGAGTCATTATTTCATCACAGGCCTTTCAGGATTTTAAGATCTGTCGGACATCCTTAAGACTCTAGCAGATTTTTCTGAGATGAGTTCAGGCATTTTAGAGAATAATAGACATATTTTTGGCACTTGTTAAATTTTTAAGGGATATTGGAAAAAAGTAAGAATAAACTTAATGTACTCTTCATACATATTTTGAGCCAGCGGACTTGATTCAAACTAAGAGGAGGACTCTGGTTTGGCTTTAAATATAATTTAATAAAGTTAAGAGGATCTAGACTACCAAATTTAATTTTAAACACTCCTCAATCCTCGATAGTCGAGCCAAAGGATTGGTAAAATTTCCTCTCAGAATTAACGGAGTTGATATCAAGATTCTGAAAGTAGAGAAAGCTGTTCATAAGCAGTGAATAATTTTCTGTTAGCCTCTCAAGTCTAAATAGCAAATCTTTAGCTAAAAATAAAACTGTAGGATTGATAGTTAGTTGAATCAATTTTCCACAGCCAGATCTATCTTGTCGTTCTCAAGCAAAACAATTTCATCTAAAAATTTACCAAAGTATCAGAGCTCTTATTTAGCCAAGTTATTCACCAGCTGGTGTACTCTCAAGGGTTCACAGTAAATATACTCTCACCAAAACTTTGCCTGGATATTCCAGTGCATGGATACTACAATTTCTCTAAGCCAGAGGATTATACTCCTGTTGAGAAGCTATGAGAGTTAATGAACCCATATTCCATTCGGCTAATGATGAGTAGTTTAACAAATAGACGTAAACTTAGAAGTTTAATGGCTAATTCATCTACCGGATCAGCCATTTTAATTTAAAATTTTAATTTTTTAATTCGTTTAGCATTTTTCATGCGAAATTTCCTGTGAAGAAGGTGAACCGAGAGCTTAGAACTTTTATAATCTTGGTTTTGTAGGAGCCCTGGTGGGTTAAATATATGATTAATGCTAAATTCTCCAGAACTGATAAAATATCTGCTCATCTACATCATGAAGAATGAATTCCTCTTTAAAGATTTTTGGTTAAATGAGGTAAAATTTGTAAGCAGCTGACTACTTTTGGCTACTCGTACTTATTGATAGAATATCGTTTTAGTCATATCTATCACAGATTCGAGTCAAGAAAGAAGAAAATAATGGAAAATCTTGTCAAAAGTCTCTAATGGTGAGGTTTATCAATTTTACAGACTCTTCTTAATAACACAGAAATTTCTATTAAACCCTTTGGTTATCAAAACTTCAGATTCAATCGATTTGCTATACTCAGGGGTTTTGGGGTTTTGGGGTTTTGGGG